GTAACCCACTGCACACACACACACACACACACACACACACACACACAATCTGTCTCTGCCCCTGTCTCTGTCTCTGTCTCTCGCCTCTCTCGTCGTGGCTGCATCCCCCCTTGCAGCAGGCGGCTGAGCAGCGGGGGCAGGGGCGGGCTGCGCAGGCGGTGAACAGGGCGGTCCTGGAGGAGGGCCAGGGCGTCACCATCGGCGACCTCGAGGGCGAGGAGGTCGTGCAGGACCGCGGCGGCGGCGGCGGCGGCAGCGATGACACCCAACACACGCGCGCGAAGGTGAGCTGTGGTGTGGCATGGTGCCACGGACTCGACTTTTCGTGGGACCTCCGCATCTGCTTGGTGTTAGCACAACGCCAAGGTTCATGGTGCCTGTTGCTGACATTCTTACACACACACACAAATACATACACACATACATACGCATCACTGACACACACACATATGCACACACACATGCACATCACTTACACACACACGCACACACTCATACACACGCATCACTTTCACACACACGCACACACTCATACACACACATCACTCACACACACACACACACACATTCATTCTCCCTTGCCCCCTCCCCCCCCCCCCTCTTCGTCTCCAGCGCGGCGCCCCGGTAGGTGGCGGGAGTCTGCACCTTGCCAAGCGGATCATGGACGGGTCGTTGTGCTTGCAGGGCGGTGGGCGCGGGTGGTGGCGGTTCGAGTACTGCCCGGGCAAACACGTCATGCAGTTCCACAAGCACGAGGACGGAACAACAGACAAGATCATGCTTGGTAACATCCGTGGTGGTGGCGGTGTCTCTTTGTGTTGTCGTGTGCTCTTGAGGTCGCAGGCACTCCCCTTGCTGCTGCCCAACTATGTGCATGTTACAAATGCTGTTTTCACACAAGCACACCATTCAACCACCATTCAACCCTCACTATCAACCACCATTCAACCATCCGCACCACAAACCACCAACCACGGGTGCGTCGCTGCTGCAGGGGTGTGGGACGAGCGGGAGCACCGCCGGCGGTACCGTGTGCAGGATCCCGATGCACCGACAGCGAAGAAGCCGACCGCCAAGCAGCTCACGCAGTTTTTCGTTGGCGGCGATTACTGTGACGCGGCCAAGATCGACAGAGAGGTTGGCATGAAGGGGGTGATGTGAAGGGTGGAGGGGGGGGGTTGCGTGTGAATGTTTACATGTGTGTGTTTGTATGTGTGTGTGTACATGTGTGTGTGTGTGTACATGTGTGTGTGTGTACATGTGTGTGTGTGTGAATGTGTGTGTGTGTGCACGTTGGCATGCGTGCATTTGTGTCGTGTCATGTTGTGTCTACTTACATTCATGCTGTTCATCGCCACTTTGCACCGTGCACCATGCGTGCTTCCCTTATGCCCCCACCTCTTCCTGTCTTCACCCCCGCCCCTGTCTCCCCATCATCAGGTGGTGGTGCGGATGTTGTGTCGCCGCTCGTTGAATCCAGACCAGATTCACATGTCATTGGAGGAGGACCCAAAGTGCAAGGTAACGCCACATGTGCTGCACTCCCCAGTTAATTGCGCACTTGCTGGTCGTGTTGCCGCGATCGCCTTCCTTGCAATTTCACCCCCCCCCCCCCCACACACACTCACACCACTCACACCACACTCACACCACACCCACACCACTCACCACCTCGTATCAGTACACGTTGACGCTGCGAGCGCGGGCAGTGTGTGACATCCTTGAATTTGCCGACGGCGAAGGCGTTATTGTTCCACAGACGCACACACAAGGGCAGGACGACGAGGATGCACAAGGTGATGGCGGTGATTGATTCCGTGAATGTTGCGGTTGTGGTGTATGTAGGGTGTGTGTTTACGCACGTGTGTTTGTTACATAGGCAAACATATGCTTGCGTGTGCATGTGCATGATTGCGACATTTGCACGCGTTTGAGTCGGGCTTGAAAATGGCGGCAGTGCAGTTGAGTTGTTGTACAATAGAAAAGACGCGTGTTAGCCAGATACATGCGCACGAATGAGCACATGGTGTGGAGTGGATGAACGGAACGCAAACAACGAGGTGGTGGGAGGGGGAGGTGCAATTATGTTACAATATGTACAGCACACACATGTCTACATAGACACAGATGCAGACATACACACACACGGACAGACAGACAAACAGATAGACGGTCAGATACGCAGACGCAGGCACACAGACACACACAAATACAGACACAAATGCACACACAGACACACACACATACAAATACAGACACAGACAGACACACACATACGCACAGACAGACAGACAGACAGGCAGACACAAGAGCGTGCTATGATGGGGCGATGGCTGTGGTGACGGAGACCACATCAAATTCGTGGCCCTTCCAGACCCACGACGGCTCTGGGATGACGGCTGCGTTGCTCTGCTCAAGACTCGTCTTGCGGCGAGGGGATGATGTTGATAGCGACGACGACGACGAAGACAGCGAGGACGATGCCAAGTCGGCAGACTGTGACGAGCGCAGCTGGTCTGGGGCGTGCGGGTCGAGAGAGAGATCATACACGGCGATGCTGGCGTCCTCACAGCCAACGAAGATGTACTGGTTCGTGGAGGACGTGCACGACGACCACGCGCCACGCTGCAGCCCAGCCAGCCGGAAGAGCGGGGTGAACGCAGCCGCCATCCCAACATCATCCTTGCCCACGCCACCGCGCGCAACACCATTACCCATGCCATTATCGTGACCACTGCGCGTCCCATCGCCATCTGGCGTGCTGCTGCCGCTTGCACCAGCAAAGACCCAGACGTCTGGGAGGGCGGAGGTGACAACAACGCGCCCATCACTGGTGAAGCGGCACGACGACGCCTGATCGATGGGCAGGTGCGCATGGTGGCCCACTGCTCCGTCAACACGCGATGGCGTCCAGAAGAACACGGCGCCCTGATCCGGGTGTTGTGTGTGTTGGGAGGGGAGATGTCAAGATGTACGTGAATGCGTTTGGGTGGATGTGAGTGCGCGACAGGTTGCGTGAGTGGGTGTCAGCGTGAGAGGTATGATAGAGGGTGTGTGGGAGCCTGCGTGGATGTCAGCACGTTTTGCCTCATTCGTGTGTAGTGCCCGCAGCGCGGGCCAACGATCCCCAACCAGCCCCTGTGTATACACATTCACATATTCACACACACACACACACACACACACTCTCTCTCTCTCTCTTGATTTCACAGGATACGATATCATTATCACCGCACATCGTCATCGAGGGCGCACGTGTGTCCCGTTGGCGCAATGTCAAGACTGACAATGCCACTGGATGAGAGGCCCTGGAACAACAACAGCAACAACAACAGCAACAACAACAACAACAACAACAACAACAACAACAACAACAACAACAACAACAACAACAACAACAACAACAACAACAACAACAACAGCAAAAAAAAAAAAAAAAAACCGCAGCCGTGGGACCAACCAGCAAAGGAGTGTGTGAGGAGTGTTTGGGGAAAATGCGAGAAAGAGAATAGACATGCAAACAGACATACAGGCACAGACAGCTGACTAACCCTTGTTGCTAGCGCCTGCTTCAGGTTTCGAACATCCAGTACGTGAAGAAACCCAGCATTGTCCCCGACATAGAGCCGCTGCCAGAGCATCATCAAACACACACACACACACACACACACACACACAGACAGAGACAGAGATGTTTGCGCATGTCCGTAAACGTAACGGAATATGTCATGTACAGGCAGCTGATGCAAGGGATACACACGACAGGGTTGCACAGTCAAACACGCGCGAGGTGACGCACGTCTTCAAATACTCTGAGCGTGTTGATGGGGACCCTCATGTTGCTCAAGTCCATGACGTTCATCACGGCGTCGCTTCTGCTCCAATACAGGGTGACGGGAGAACATAGGATCATAAGCACACACCACACAACGTGCAGTGTCCTCACGTAAACACACATCAACGCAGACGCGTTGGTACATAGTCAGCACAGTACAACGTGAGCAGTGTCTCTCCTCACACACAGACAGACACACACACACACACAGACAGACAGACACACACACACACAGGCAGACACACACGCACACACGCACGCACATACGCACGCACGCACTTTGGGTCGATGGCTTTGAGGTGCGAGTCCTCGCCTGCTGTGAAGAGGAGGGAAACGGGCGCACACCAGTCGACGTCCAGCACGTTGGACTTGTGAGCTTCCACATTCAGGACAGACTGGTTGGTGACGAGATCGATGGACATGACCTGTTTGTGCTTCCCCAGAAACACCCTGTTCGCTGCATTGTCAGCTCGCAGCACATTCACGGGCTCCTTGTGTGGTGGCAGGATGCACACGGACGAGCCATCCGTGCCCCATCGCCGCACTGCGCCGTCGCAGTCAGCAGACACCAACACCTCCATCACTCTCTGTTGGCGTCGTTGTAGAAAATCCTCCATTATCATCCACCATTTCTCCACATCCTTGCCCACCAGAAGCAAAGCAACACACACCATAACCGCCAAGCACCTGCACCAACCATCATCGCCTGTGTTTGATCGATTGAAGGTGATTGCTGCTCCCATATCCCGTACACACACACAGACACAGTCACAGACACAGACACACACACATACACAGACACACAGACACACATACACACACACACACACACACACACACACACACACACACACACACGTGTTGGGGGAGGGCAAGAACAACACGGTACAGGGGAGCATGTCGAGGCACCGGTTTCAGCTGCACGCCGACGACTTCACGCACTACGACGACGACTTTGGTGACTTCTCCGACGACAACCACGACTACTACGACGACGACTACGACCAGCCACAAGACTCGTGCGTCTACGATTGTTCCTTCTTGCTTCGCGTTTGCGCATGCATGCATGTGTTCATGTGTGCATGTGTTCATGTGTTCATGTGTTCATGTGTATGTATGCATGTATGTATGTATGTATGTGTGTATGTGTGTATGTATGTATGTATGTATGTATGTATGTATGTATGTATGTATGTATGTATGTATGTATGCATGTATGTATGTATATGTGTGTGTGTGTACGTGTGTACGTGTGTGCGGGTGCTCCACCTTTATGTGCCCCGCTCACAACCGTAAACCCGTTAACCACGTGCCCACGCACGCCAATGCGTTGTTGCTGTTGTTGCCATCCTGGTGTTGCAGGCAAGTCCTCTCCCTGGACGAGCATCTCAAGTCCCTTACAGTCGGTGGGTACAGCCTTTGAATCCCAGAAAATCACCCCCCTCCTTTCTTGTTCTTGTTCTCGAGCTCTAGCCCTTGTTCTTCTTCGTTTCTCTAGCTCCTCCACTCCCCCCCTCCTCCTCTTCCTCCTCCTCCACCCCCTTTCTTCCTCGTCTTCTTCCTCGTCAAACACAGCCAACCATGCCAAAGCCACCATCCCTCGCTTCACTGGGCAAGAAGCAACCACTCTCCAGCGCTCAGCAACAGCAACAGCAACAGCAGCAGCAACAGCTACAGCAGCAGCCGCAACTCGCCTCCTCGCTGTCGAGCTTACTGGCTGGATCAAACCAGACCAAGCCGGCGGGTGGGCTGTCATCTCTCTCTTCCTCAGCACTGGCATCATCCTCACGACAAACATCGCCGGCAACAACCAAACCGACGTCCCTCTCTTCTCTCATGTCCAAATCCCCAGCCTCATCCAGCAGCAACAGCAGCACAACCAAACCGTCGCTCGCAAGTTTGCGGCTGGGATCATCCCCATCGCCATCATCGTCATCGCCATCATCGTCCTCCACAACGCCACCGACGTCGTCTCTATCCAAGCAGTCCCCCGCCATCCGTACTCCTCCGCTCTCTAGCCTCCAGACAGCACCAAAGACCACAGCCACGACCACAATCACGACCAATGGCAAAAAGCCGTCTCTCGCCTCCCTGTCCTCATTGGTAACATCATCATCGTCATTCCGTTGTGGTGCTGCCTCGAGCCTGTCGTCCCTCATCCTCGGCGACAAACCGAACCGGAAAGACACGACAGCAACAGCAGCAACAACAACAGCAACAGCAGCAACGGTTCGGAGGGCATCAGCAGGTGGCAGTGACGGGAGAAGCGTAGCTGCCGTCTCGACGGGTGTCGCATCAGTGCACATCTCCACTGCCACTGCTGATGGTGATGACACCCGGACAGCGGCCAAACACCAAGACCATTCCCATTCCCGCGAACCATCACCACCACCACCAGCAGCAGCAGCAGCACTGGATGTGTTGTCGGCATCATGTGCGGGTGCCACGCCGTGTGCACCTTCGTCAGCGGCACCATCTGCGTTTGCGACGGTGCTGGCACGAACCAAATCGACGCCATCATGGTCGTCACCACCGGCGGATGGAGTCGATATTCCGCACTTTACATGGCGGTTGACGCGGCCCGCGCTGCAGTGATGGTGGTGCTGTTAGTGGTGGTGGTGGAGGCAGGGATGACTACAACAACGACAACAACGGCAATAGCACCAGCACCACTGGGGGGCGGCAGCCATATCAACCGTGCCGGCGTCATCAGCTCTTCCGTGTTTGCTCTCATGTCCCCATTTCTCTTCTTCTCTCCCCCCTCTCTTTCTGTTCCAATGACCGCCCCGACCACCGCTCAGTTATTCTCTCTCTGTCTCTCTCTTCATGTTGATCATCACCGCTCTGCCCGTGGTTGATGCTTCGTCCTGTTATTCAATCACACGTGCCTGCAAGCACACGCGCACGCATTGTTTATCGGTTCATTCATTCCAATCACTCAAGAATTCACATGTGCTCTACTCTCTTCCCTATCTTTCCTGCGCACCTGTGTGTGTGTGTGTGTTTGCAGTTTCCGCGGCGAGTACACGGGGAAATGGAGGGAAAAAGAAGAACAAGAAGAACAAGAAGAAGAGCAAGGGAGGCCTCAAGGTGAAGGACAAGACCAGCACAGGACAACAACAACAACAACAACAACAACAACAACAACAACAACAACAACAACAACAACAACAACAACAACAACAACAACAACAACAACAACAACAACAACAACAACAACAACAACACACGTCGTCGAAGCAGAATGGCAATGGAATCCACAGTCATGAGCAACAGCCTGCAGCGCGCGGCGCCGTTGAAGCTGGCGATGCTGGTGACAAACAACCGCCAAAACTGTCCCTGACCATCTCAAGTTCGCCCTCAACCACAACAACAACAACAACAACAACCACCACCACCACTCCAACTGCTGTCGCCACCACTTCGACTGCCAGCAGCAGCAGCACTGCAGCTACTGGTTCCACCACTGCTGATGGTGCACGCGAGGAGCCAACGCAGGGAGCAACAAAGCCGAAGAAAGCAAAGACATCCAAGGACAAGGCAGAGGTGTCGAATGTCAAGCGGAAGTGGAAGAAACCAAAGACCATCGCACGCACGGTCGGTTTTTCCGAATTGACCGTGATGATGAGGATCAAGTGGTTGGAACATGGTTACCGTCTGTGTGACATTGTTCCTTGCATGTTTGATGGGTGTTTTGACAAGGGATCTCACGATCATTGTACATGTGTGTGTGTGTTTGCGTTTGCGTTTGCGCGTGTTTGCGTGTGTAGAAATTGAGCGACGTAGTGCCACCGCCGCATCTGAGCAGCACCATCAATCTCGTCGTCATTGGTCTGTGACTGCATCGCACCACCTGTACTCTGCATGAGAGCGCGGTGCTCACCACCCAGTGCCGTATGCCTCGCAATGACCAACTGTCTGCGTGTCTCGCTGTCTCTACAGCATACACACGCACAGCATGTACGCATGCGCACACTCATTCGCCCCATTCCCCACCCGTGTTATTGCCAGGTCATGTTGATGCCGGGAAGAGCACACTCGTTGGGCACTTGTTGACGCAGATGGGTGTCATTGACCCAAAACTGCTGCACAAATGCAAGCAGGAGTCGGCGCGAATCGGCAAGGGCTCCTTCGCCTTTGCCTGGCTCCTCGGTACGCACTTGCGTGCATGTGTTTGGGTGTTTGGATGTGTGTGGATGTGTTTGGGTGTGTGGATGTGTTTGGGTGTGTGGATGTGTTTGCATGTGTTTGCATGTGTTTGCATGTGTTTGCATGTGCTTGGGTGTGTAGATGTGTTCGGGTGTGTGGGTGTGTGTGTATGTGTGTATGTGTGTATGTGTGTATGTGTGTGGCAACACAAGTTGCCAGTGCACGGCATTGCTTATCTTGCCATTAGCGTGAGCATGCTTCTCTCCTCCTCACAATCCATCACCATCACCATCGCCATCACCGCCATCATCGCCACCGGCGATGTGCAGACGAGGAGTCTGAGGAGCGGTCGCGCGGCGTGACGGTTGACGTTGGGCAGAAGTCGTTTGCCAGCGAGCACCGCCGCTTCACCCTCCTCGATGCACCGGGCCATCGCGACTTCATCCCAAACATGATCACGGGCGCCTCCCACGTGCGTACCGCAGTGCATGCAAGCATCCAATGCATGCAGGCGTCCAATGCATGCAGGCGTCCGTTGTTGTTGACAGTTCAAGCGTCATGCATCACACGCACACACACTCACATCTCCACGTTTCGCATGCTGCTTCTCATAAGCCCTGCTCCCCCCCCTCAATCCTCACCACCACCTCCACGATCATTATCCCCATCATCATCACCACGTGCCAGGCCGATGCTGCTGTGCTGGTGGTGGATGCGTCTCCTGGCGAATTTGAGTCTGGATTTGACGCGGACGGGCAGACGCGCGAGCACATTCTCCTCGCCCGCTCGCTCGGCATCTCGCAGCTCGTTGTCGCAATCAACAAGATGGACATGGTCTGGGTTTGTGTGTGTGTGTGTGTGTGTGTATGTGTGTGTGTTTGTGTGTGTGTGTGTGTGTGTGTGTGTGTGCGTGTGTGTGTGCACGTACATGCGTACTTGCACTCTCTATCATTGTCAGCACGACCATTACCACCACATCCCTGCTCACGCATGTGTGCGTGTGTGTGCGTGCATGTGTAGGTATCCTGGAGCGAAGACCGGTACCAGGAGATTGTTGCCCGTCTGCAGCCGTTCCTCAAACAGCGCGGGTTTGCCATTGCGGTGAGGCGATGTACAACACGTCATGACCGTGGTGGCAATCGTCACCAGTCGCGTGGATCGTGGGGGTGGTGGCAATGGTGATGGTGGCAATGGTGGTGGTGGATGAAGACTGGGCGCTTCCTGCTTCCCCACCCCCTCCTCCTCTTCGTGTGCAATCAAAACCGCACATTGACACATCCCATCACCTTGGCAACTGCACTACATGTGTGTGTGTGTGCGCGGATGTGTGTGCTGAGCAGGCTGACGCGATTGTCCCCGTGAGCGGACTGGAAGGCCTCAACCTGAAGGAGCGCCACGCCCTCGACTGGTACAGCGGTCCAACCCTCCTCCAAGCACTCGGTTGGTGGCGCGAGATGTTGTGTACTTTCGCACGTGAGCACAGCCGTGCAGCCGTGCAGTCGTTCATAGTCGTCGAGCAAGTGTGCACGACATCACATCCCACATCCCACCGCGTCTCATCGTCCTCGTCCTCGTCCTCACCACCACCACCACCACCACCACCACTGCTGCTGCTGCTCAGATGCGCTTGAGGTGCGGCCGCGGGAGTGGAAGAGCCCCCTTCGCGCCACAATTGCGGATGTGTACAAGGTCGCGGGTTTCTCCTCCGTCCACGTGGCAGCACGCATCGTCACGGGATGCGTTCACGAGGGCGACACGGTCGTCGCACTGCCAAACTTCGAATACGGCACCGTCAAACGTGCGCGGCAGTGGTGTTAGACGTAGATACCGGGAGAGAGAAGCGAGGAGGGCTCGGGTGGGGGCAAGGGGGAGGTGGAGTTGTTGTTTCATGGTACGTGAAGGTAAAGCCCCTTGTTTCCTTAACACCACACACACACACACACACACACACACACATACATGCCCGCAGAGGTGCTGGTTGCGGAGGAGCGCGTCAAGGCTGCGTATGCCGGCGATGCGTGCACGATCGTGCTTGCAGGCATCGACGAAGCGCTCATCAGGTAGGAAGGCCGGGGTGCGGATGAGCAACGCACAGATGTGGCGACAGTTGTGCTGTGACCTACACACACACACACACACACACACGCACGCACACACACACACACACACACACACACACACACACACACACACACACACACACGCACACATACACACACAAGCGCAAGCTCACGGTGCTACTCACCCTTCCAATGGATCACAGGGCCGGTAATCTGGTGTGCCATCCAGACGAGGAGCCACCACTGGCGACGCGAATCAGGTACACGCTTTGCTTGCAGGCACGCACGTCGTCCGCTGTTACTGATGCTGTCTGTACTCAGAGTGCTCACCCAACCTTCAGCAGTGCGTTGCGTCTCCGCTCACCTCCTACCTGCACACCACTGCTCCCATCCAACCACTCACCTTGTGTGCTCGCGCGCTTTCATGTGCATGTCTATGTGCGTATGTTTGTGCGTGTATGTGCAGGTGCAAGATTGTTGTGTTTGACGCCCCGCGCCCGTTGCTAAAAGGGTCACAGTTCACTCTTCACCACCAGCAGGAGGACGTGCCTGCACGCATCAAGTCCATCGTCTCCCAGGTACCGACGCGCGATGTTGTTGTCCTTGCGTCAGGGAGGCGAGGCGGGGTGAGGAATTGGCTCTTCTGTTGTTGTCGTTGTGTCATCTAGCCACTAACACACACACACACACACACACACACTCACACACACACACACAACACAACACACACACACACACACACACACACACACACACACACACACACACACACACACACACACACACACACACACACACCAGACCAATCGGCGCACAGGAGAGATTGAGAAGCACAAACCGCGGGCGCTGCCACGCAACAGCGTCGGTGTTGTCGTCATTGCACTCGACACTGCGCTGTCGCTCGAGACGTACGAGCAAGTGAAGGACCTTGGGCGCGTGACGCTGCGGCAGGAGGGGCGGACGGTGGCTGCCGGCATCATTGACGCGATCGTCAGGGCCGAACGGGTCGAGTGATGGGCGAGTGGTCGGTTGCATTGTGAAGTGTGTGGCTGCATGCTCGTCGCTGGTGCTTGTTGTGGTGTGTAGTTGTTCAGCCACGTCGCATGAAGGTGGTTGCATGGAATAGATTGTCACGTGAGCGTATGTGTGTGCATACATGTGCGGCGTGATGTGTGTGTGTGTGTACATGTTCGCCTTGTGTGTGTGCTTGTTTGCCTACGCTAGTTTGCGGTTTGTGGTGGTCAGTTCGGTGTTGTGGTGTTTGTTTGTCGTGTATTGCTTTTGTGGAACAATCCAAACCTAACTTCCCACGAAATGCCAGCAAGCAACGGAGGGTCCACACCTAACCAAACAAGCACAGTGGAAACGAGTGCAAAGGGAACGAACACACGATCACACACACACCCACGCAACGGCTCAGCAGTCCCCTCATTCACAAACACACACACACATGTAACACGAGCATGCTTGTGGTAGCAACAACGTCCCTTGCAACCCTTCTCAACCCACTCCCCACCCAACAATCAACGCAGCACAACCGCCGTACGCGTTCCATGCACTATCTGGCAGCAGCATCTGCGTCATCATCATCCCTGTCCTCCATCTTGTTCATGAGCTCCAGCTTGAGCAGATACTTCCGAAAGGCCTTTGGGTCTGTCACGTGTGTTAAGTTCTTCAGGCTGTACCCGTATGCGTTCACCTTCTCCTCGTATCTGTTCACCACCTGCTGACACTTCTGCGATGACATGTCTACAACCTTGTGCCAGTCCGGGATCCAGTTCATGCTTGACCCAAACGACACTTCCACGTGGTGCGTGTTTCCATGAAACTCCAGCAGCTGCCGCCCACCACCACGCACACCACCACCACTCTGCGAGCCAACAACAACACCACCACTCACACCGCGGCCACCATCGCTTCGGCGCGTGAGGGCTCCGATGGGCACGTGCGGTGGCAACTGCGACGAGGAGCTGCTGCGGCGGCTGGCCCGCGGATACCGGAAATGGCCACGGGGTACAGCTTTTGATGATGATGGTGATGATACTGATGATGATGATGATGACGATGATGATGATGATGATGATGATGATGATGATGATGATGATGATGATGATGACCCGGTATTGGTGCTGCGGCGGCGGCGCGAAGGGTTTGCTGGACTGCGCTCGTGGAGGTGGACTTTGTTTGGAAGCCCCAGGAACCGCTCCATCTCCGCCATGTACCCCTGCGCCAGCTGCTTGCCGCCGTGGTCGAGGAAGTCTTCCAGTTGAATGACAGCAATGTGCTCCACGTGCTCCATATCCTCCAGTGCCGTCTTGTGCAGCTGCAGCCAATGCTGGATGTATCGCTCGCCGCAGTCCTTGACCCCCGCCGCCATGTACCGCCGCTTGGAGTAGCGGAAGTGGGCGCACCCGAGCGGGTGGCGCATGATCATGATGAACGTCGTGCGGTCTGGCGTGAACATCTTCTGCAGGAAGCGCATCTTGAGCAGGTGTGGCGGTGATTTCTCCAGCAGCACGGGCTTGCTCGTGTCCCAGTACTTGGCCCACGCGTTGAAGATGGCCTCGCGGTTCTCGTCAGTCAGCATTTCGCTCGTCTCCGTGATGTGGCTCTTTGGGTTGAACCCGTACCCGAGCTGCCCGCCGGTCCACGCCGCTTTCGGATACACGTCCTGCAGATGCTGGCCCTCGTTCTGCGGCACGTTCGTGTCTATTGTTGGTTGTGTTTTTTTGTCGTTGTGTGCATGTATGTGTGTATGTATGTGTGTATAATGGGGTGGGGTGAGCTTGGAGAAAGCGGTTGCAGCAAAGAGCACAGCAAATGCTTGATCAAATGCAAACGGGGGAGTCGCATGGAGGAAGACCAGGGATGATGCAAAAGTGCAAGCAACAAGACCCACTGAGAAGGCAGGAGATGTCGGGGTGCTGGCACAGCACGAGATCCAAGATGGTGGTACCACTACAGTATGTGTGTGTGTGTGTGAGTGCGTGTGTGTGCGTGCGTGTGCATGCGTGCGTGCGTGTGCGTGTGTGTGCGTGCATGCATGTCAAGGAGCGATATGGTGACAAAAGTAGGCGCAGCGACAGGCGCATGCAACCACCGCACGCATGCAACGGGGTGTGTACCTGTGGTGGGCGCCGACGACGAAGAGAAACGAGTGCCTCGCCATGTTTGAAGGAAGTGGGGCAAGCTCATTCCCAGAGACGAGGACAGCGTTGGCGTACATGGCCACGCACACCAGCACCGCCACAGCGTGCATCACGCCAACGCCTTGGTTGGTGTTCATCATGAAGTGTGTGCGTGTGTGTGTGTGTCTTCTGTGTGTGTGTGTGTTCTTCTGTGTGTGTGTTTCTTCTGTGCAACCACGCAATACGAACAAGGGTGAATACCCTGAGTGTTGTTCCGGCTCTGTGTGGTGGTTGCCCGATGCTGTCGTGGGTGCAGCGGCAAAGCAAAAGGACGGCAACCAAGCAAAGGCCAAGCAAAGCAAGTCAAGCGGGTGTGTGAAATCGAGAGAGAGGGTGCGAGCAGCAGCAGCAGCGCTCTCTACTATCTATCTTGGGCAACTGCACCACTACTTTTTTTGCTGTCGTGTTTCAGCACCGGATACGAAAGCCAGCCAGCCAGCCAGCCAACCAGCAGCATGAGCGCGCCTGTTGGAAGTCCCAATGCAGTCGAGGGAGGGCAGCCGCCAAAGCAGCCGCCGCCACAGCAACAGCAGCCGCCAATGCAGCAACAGCAGCCGCCGCCACAGCGCGCTGTGCCACAACCCTCCCCCTCACCAATGGCAAGTGGCCGCGCTGTGCTTTTGTTCTCTTTGTCGTTTTGTTTTGATTTGCTTCTTATGTGTCCTGCCTACAGGCCGATGCAAAGTGAGCTTGCGTGCCTTCCGTGCGTGCCTGCGCCGTTTCCAACCCGTGCTCTCTCTCTCTCTCTCTTCCCTCTTTGTGTTCGACAGGCATTCTTCCAAGACAAGGCATTGCTGCGGGATGGCAGCCCCCACCCCATGACAGCGTTCCTAGACCAAGTGGGCCGCCACGATTCCGCCATTGTGTGCACCGAAATGATCGCACGGCGTGACAGCGCCTTGGCAAGCCGCATGAGCATGAATGAGAAGCGCAAGGAACTCAAAGTGGTCTACGACACGTTGGCCAAAGTATGGGCTGTGTGTGTGTGTGTGTGTGTGTGTGTGTGTGTGTGTGTGTGTGTGTGTGTGTGTGTGTGTGTGGTGTGTCCGCCTGTCCGCGAATGATTGTGTATGTGTGTGTGTGTGCCCACTTGCTTGCGTTCGCATGTGTGTCTGTGTGGCGGTAGAGGTGGCAGTGTAAACAAAGGTGATGATCACCCACACAACTCGTTCGTTCCTTCCCTCTCCTTTCGTCTTTCACGTTGCACATCATTGTTGCTGCTGTGGCTTGCGCTGCAGATTGTATGCGACACGAACACCTTGGCTGTGACATACGACACCATCGTGTCTGCCGCGGCTCGGCTCAAACTCAAGACAGACGCGGCGCAGATGCTGCAGCTCCTGGCCGATCGCCACGTGCCCATCCTCGTGGCGACGCTTGGCCCGGCCCTCGTGCTCTCTGCGGCGCTTCGTCAGTGCGTGGAGGGCAGCATGAACATGGACGACCACATCTTCGTCATGGGCCAAGAATTTGCACAGTGGGAGCCAGACCTGGTGCCGCGCAAACACCCGCAGGAGCAATTTGGTTCGTCCCATGTGTGCACCTGTGTGTTGGGGGGGGGGGGGAAGGGTGTGTGCGTGTGTGTCCGTGTGTCCGTGTGTCCGTGCGTGTGTGTGTGTGTGTGTGTGTCCGTGTGTCCGTGTGTGTGTGTGTGTGTGTGTGTGTGTGTGTGTGTGTGTGTGTGTGTGTGTGTGTGTGTGTGTGTGTGTGTGTGTGTGTGTGTGTGTGTGTGTGTGTGTGTGTTATCTTCACCCTTTTGAAACCCATTTGTGTGTGTGTTCTCGCTGCCTCGTGCACATGTTTGCACGTGGTATCGTGCGTTTTGCGTTTATTCTTTCTGCGGCTTCTGCTGCTGCCTGCCCTGCTGTTGCTGTTGTTGTTGTGGTGGTGATGATGATGATTTTGCCTGTGGCTGCTTCGTTCCCTCCTCTGCCTTGACCTTTGCATAATAGAACACACCACACATGAGCACACCTGCACAGGAAGAGGGGAGAGAGGGGGTGGGAAAGTGATGCAAGACACACGTGTGTGAGAGAGAGTGTGTGTGTGTGTGTGAGTGAGAGAGAGAGAGTGTGTGTGGTTGTGTGTGTGTGGTTGTGTGTGTGTGGTTGTGTGTGTGTGGTTGTGTGTGTGTGTGTGTGTGTGTGTGTGTGTGTGTGTGTGTGTGTGTGTGTGTGTGTGTCGTCGTCACCACCCACCATCAATCTCACCTTCATCCTCATCACCAACGACCACCGCCACCGCCACCGCCACTGCCACCAACGAATCACCATCACTGCCGCACCGATGCCGAGGATGTTGAGAGGAGAGAGCGGCTTGCCAAAGTAGACGACGGCGGCCATGATGATCACAAACCGCCGCGTCGCATTCACTGCACCAGCGGTGGAGGCGGTGGAGGCGTGAGGTGTTGCGAAGACACATTTGTGCCTTTGTGCAGGATGACTTGATCAAAGACTTACAAATTAAGTCAATACAAAGCCCAGTGGAAGGGGCAGATGCTTGTGCATAGACACAGACACACAGACAGGTGCACACACAGACACAGACACAGACACAGACATATACAGACACACACACACACACACACATGCACACTACCGACCAATGGAGTGGGTGAGGGCGGGAACACGTGCTAGAAGCAGCATGGATGCCTGGTTGTAGACGTAATGAAGCGTTCCGTTCATGACGATGAGGCCGAGCAAGGGCACAAGCTCCCCTGTCCGCACACCCTCCACCTGTGCACACGGCACATCAGCAGCAGTAGCAGCCAGGGTGACGACAAGGGATGAAGTGGCATGCGAGATGAGACGCAACTATGATGATGATGATGATGATGATGATGATGATGATGATGATGATGATGATGATGATACTGTGCGTTCTTGTGGTGATGACGATACTGTGCGTTCTTGTGGTGATGATGGTACTGTGCGTTCTTGTGGTGATGATGATACTGTGCGTTCTTGTGGTGATGATGATACTGTGCGTTCTTGTGGTGATGATGGTACAGCGCGCTCCCGTGGCAGTGGTGATGGGTGGCAGCAGCATCATGAGCAAGAGGGGCCCTGTAAGTGTGTCCGTACCAGCTGTGCGCCCTCCATGAACACAACTAGCGGCGCTGTGAGGATGGCAGCGGCCCACGAGATGTAGTAGAACAAGTTGAAGTTGTCAACAAGCTGCAACAGGCACACGCACGCACACACCGACGACCGGAGGAGGGTGAGAAGTGATGGTGTGATGGTGTGATGGTGTGAAGAGATGAGGACGAGCTGGTGTGATGAGGTGCAACGTGGACGCTGCAGCCAAAGCAAGCCAAGCACACAAAGGCCCGACCTTTGATTGTAGGATGCGCTTTGCAAAGATGGAGCGCAGGACAAAGCAGCAGTTTGCGGTGACGGCGGAGACGAGACCGAGGGTGGAGAAGTCAAGCTCAGTCAACGCAACGAGCACAATCCCAAGGCAGATGGGGATCAGGGACACCCACACCTCTGCAAGGGGGAAGTTGTGCGTTGCGTGGACAGGTGAGGTGGTAAGGGATGGAGGAGCTGTGGATACTTCAGGAACTTGGTACGAATCACAGTGCACCGCTCCCTTACCAACACGCATACACACACACACGACACACACACACACACACACACATACACACACGACACGCACACACACACGCACACACACACGCACACACTCTCACTCACTCACACAGACACACACACACACTCACACACTCACACAGACACACACACACACACACACACACACACACACACACACAAAAGGCTCACGGTTGGAAAAGGTCTGATGGAAGAAGAAGGTGGCGATGACGACGAGAAACACGGGCTCAGTTGCTTTGATGGCGTGAGTGAACGACACCGCTGTCCGCCCCAGACTGAGGTTGGTTGTCAGGAACCCAATGTACCAGCACAGCGCAATCGGCAACAGTGGCTTTGCCTGCACACGACACGCGATATGTGACAAGCAGACAAGCAGACAGGCAGACAGACAGACACACACACACACACACACACACACACACACACACACACACACACACACACACACACACACACACACACGACACACACGCACAGCGATCGTTTCAGTTGCAGTGTCCAATGCACGGTGAGCAACAACAGCACAGCCGATGGGTCCAACGACACGACACTACGCAGATGCTACCTGATCTTTGCGGAGTGGGATGAAGGGCCGGAGCTTTGCGCCACGCAGAATGACACTGGACCACAGCCCGCCACTCAGGAACTGGACAAACGTGACGGTCACTGGCAGTCGCTTTGCCTGCTGGATCTACGCAACCAGGCATCGAGGAGAGACATGAGGGAAGGGACCGTGGTGACACGGAATGATGGTAGGAACTTGCCACGGTTGTCGCCGCCCCTTCTGATGATCATGATCATCAACACCACCACCACCACCACCACCACCACTACCACACCTACACTCTGCACCCCTCCCCTCCCCCATCCCTCAACCCCTTCCACATGCACACACACACACACACACACGCGCGCGCGCGCGCGCTCACACACACTGACCTGCTTGTTGAAGGCGTCTGTGAAGAAGGAGGCTGCATACCACACCACCACGATGGCAAGCGACACTGCCAGGCCACCAACATTTCCTGCAACAGCAGCTGCTGCCGCAGGGCCACTGGCCGACTTCCTCTTCGTCATCTTCGTTGTTTGTTGCTGTGTTGTTGCAGTTTTGCTTTTTATTGGGGAAAACTCGCTGAAATCTTACACTGTTCCCAGCGCTCAGAGATGGGGAAGGGGTAAAACAGAGGGCAGCGGTGTGCATGGGCGAATGTGTGTGAGAGCAGGCGCCGCTTAGATAGATAGAAAAGTGAATCAATAGATAGATAGAAACCAAGTGCCTCGGTGCGAGGCTCATGTGTAGTGCTGCGACTGTCGCTTAGACAGTTGCAGGGGGCTCTGTTGCGGCCGGGCCACCGGGGCTACGTGAGGTCACTGCGGCGCTGCGTGGCTGTCCCTCATCGTTGTCGGTGGTGGCGGCAGCGGTGTCGTTGTTGTCGTTGTTGCTGTCATTGCTGCGCTGGCCGCTGTGGTCGGGGGGTGTGTTCTTGCGGATGCTTTGCGCTTTGCGGGTGCGTTTGCCCTGTTGGTGGTTGCGCTGGGCCTTGAGCGCGCGCCCGCTGCACCGTCTGGGTTGCTCTGGCGGGGAGTGGGGTGTGTTCTCCCGCCCGGACCGAGCCCGGCTGGTTTTTGTCCCGCTTGTCGTGAGGCATCTGGCCGATGCACCGGAGGTTCGCGTAGCACTCAGCCTTGCATCTCGCGATGGACAACACTTGCCGCCAGTACGTGCTGCTGTGCATGGAGGTAAAGGTGCGCACGTGTGGTGGTGTTTGTGGGTCCGTCGTGGACATAAGGTCGCTGCTGAAGAACTTCCGGAACTTCGAGCCCCAGGCGCCCGAGCCAGCCTCGATCGCAATCGGCACAAATTTGAAGTCGCCCTGGTCTCGTAGGATGGCAGTTGTCTTTTGTTTTGTCATTTACATTTTTTCAACAGTAAGCGTTTGATGTCTGTGTTTGTTTGCGTTGTTCTGTTGTTGTTGTTGTTCATGTTTTGTATTCGGAAGCATCCACCACCCAGCATCAGCATTAGAAGGAGACAGAGGCAGAGGAGAGGGAGCAGCATGGCACGGGGCGACAGAAAAGCAGGCAAGAAGCGAACAACTACACACGGGACAAAGGAGACACAACGGTTACTCGGACAGCTTTGCCTTCTTCTTCGACTTCTTCTTCTTCTTGGGCGACTCCTCACCGTCCGCATCAGCATCCTCAGCAGACCGCTTGCCCTTGTCCTTCTTCTTCTTCTCGCCCTTGTCCTTCTTCTCCTTCTTCTCCTTCTTCTTCTTCTTCTTATCCTTCTTATCATCCCCATCCTCCTGTGTGTGTGTGTGTGTGTGTGTGTGTGTGTGTGTGTGTGTGTGTGTGTGTGTGTGTGCGCGGAGCACCGACAGCAGCAGAAGAGAGGTGGTGAGCAACAGCAACAAGACCAATGTGGGGAAGCAGCAAGCAGCCTTCGACAGCATAACACGCACGCATACCCCCCCCCACACACACACCACTGAAGCATGCACACACAGGTGAGGGCTGACCTTGCTCTTCTTCTTGTCCTTCTTGGCCGACTTTTCGCCATTCTCTGTTGCGCCGAGCGTCGAGTCAGCAGCGTCGTTGTAGCCCTGAACCAAACACGCGACGCAACACAACAGGCGAGGCCATAGGCGAGCACACACGCGTGTCAACGGTGAAGACGGGAACGGGGGCAAGTAACAGAGCACTGTTACCGTTCCTCAGCCACCACATTAATGTGATGAACAAGCCACCGATTTGAGAACCCGCTCTCTCTGAACACACACACACACACACACACACAGCACACGGGGGATGGTGTACCTTGACTGGTGTGTTGAGTTCGTATGACGAGGGGCCAACGGAGACGCCGGCCTTTGAGAGCTTGTACACGCGACCGCCCTCGAGCTGCCTCAAGCGCGCATCGACCTTGGCCCGGTACTCCATTGCATAGTCCTGCTTCGAGTCCTCCGCAAGCGCATCAATACGTGCCTGTAGACAAGTGGAAGCGGGAGGGGGACAGGTGAGACAGGTGAGACAAGGATAAGAATAATGAGAAAGCAGCGTGAGCATCAGCTGAAATGGTTGCGTGTATGCATGTGTGTGTGTGTGTTGATTGCTGTAGGAGACAGAAGAAGGCACACAATCAACAATAACAATAACAACAACAGCAGCAGCAACAACAACAACAACAACAACAGTAATCAAACAAGCAGGCACACAAAAGGGTGGTGTGTAGTGTGGGTACGCACCACAAGGGAGGTTTTCGCAGCAAGGACGCGGGACATCTTGCCCTTGTTCTTGCCGCTGCTCTGGCCGACGACCGAGGCGTGGTACAGGTGCCCGTACTTTGGAGTGTCGTGCTTCGTCTTCAGCGCGCGGAAGAGTGCCTTCTCAGCACCGAGAATCTGCACAGTGGAGGCGGGGTACTTGGCCAGGTTGAGGAGGGAGCCCGCGTGGGCAATGAGGCGTGCGCCAACAAGCTCGCCAACCATCAGCGTCAGGTTGGGCGCAATCACGTTCATTCTGCAACACGATAGCAAGACGGTCAAAGAGAGGACAGGAGAGTAGAGAAGAACAAGGAACAACACAACGACACAATCACGCGTGAGCAGAGT